GCTTTTCTGATGAAGGGCCTAGGCCCGAAACGTCAGCCTCTCTGCTCCTATGATGCTGCTTGGCCTGCTGTCTTCATCCAGCCCTGCACCTTGTTGTCTCTATTCTGTCTTCCATTTCGTTTAGTCACACTCCTTGAGGGGCAGGTGGTGATGTTGTGACAATATCACAAGATTTGAAATTGAGAACCCCAAGCTAATAGCCTGGAAGTTCAAATCTCACCACGGCAGATAGTGAAAGTTAAATTCAATAAAATCCGGAATTAAAAGCTGGCTTAATTCATGACCACTGGTATACAAACTCATGTGGTTCACTAATGCTCTATTGGGAAGCAAATCTGAAAATCAGCCTACACATGACTCATATGTGGCTTGAACCTGGGTCAGAGGTAGGGACTACCAGTGTGCCACTATGAACCCTTGAAACCAGTTTTTTTTAAAAAAGCCATGAGCTCTTTTCTTTACTAACTTATGTTTCTAATCAACCTGTTCAGAGATGTTATTACACAGCCAGTGGGACTTAACCCAGGTCCCTTGGTTCGGGGTAGGGACACTACCTCTGTGCTACAAGAACCCTTGAAACTGGATCACAAAAGTGTGACCCAATGAACATCTGTTACTCTTAATCGTTCCTAATGCACAAATATATCTGTACTCAGTCAGCTCAGAATGAGCTATAGTAGCTGTGAGAAAGATTCATCATATACTGCAGAACAATCCCAAAATGTTTTCTGTTCAATGAATAAAGGTGTAGTTTCTGTTGTTATGTTATGAAAATAACCATCCTCTTGTGGTACAGTGGTAGTGTCCCTACTCCTAGACCAGCAGGCCCAGGTTCAAGTCCCACTTGCTCCACTGGTGTGTAATAACAACATCTCTGAACAGGTTGATTGGGAAAAATAGGTTAAAAAAACCTGCTCACAATCAGAATTTTAGGCATACACTCTTTGATTTTCTGACCGCTGATGGAAATTTAAGGAGATAGAGGTAATGGTAGCTGTCTTTTCCCTAGGATGAGGGATTTCACGACCAAGGGGCACATTTTTAAGGTGAGAGGAAAGACATTTAAAAAAGACATGAGGAACAATTTTTTTTTTTTTTTTTTTACACACAGTGGGTGGTTCGCGTGTGGAATGAACTTCCTGAGGAAGTGGTGAATGTTTAACAGACATTTGGATAAGTACATGATTAAGAAAGGTTCGGAGGGATATGGGCCAGGAGTAGACAGGTGGGACTAATTTAGTTTGGGACTATGGTCAGCATGGACTGGTTGGACTGAAGGGTCTGTTTCCGTGCTGTATGACTCTATGACTCTACAACAAGATTCAGGCTCTGAAGCATGATTGCTCCTCAAGCCTAGGGGTCCTTTCACAAAGTGCAGCCTCTGAGAGTTAATGCTTATAGACTGAACTCCTGGAGATAGATTTGAACTTACAATCTCTGGCTCCAAGAATGAATGTCATGTACCGAGATAACAAGGTGTGCATATTGTTTGGTCATGGAAGGCTTCAAGACTTTTTTTTTTAAACAAGTTCAGATGTTACGCAGGTCCTACGGCAATATAATCATTTGACAGAACTCTCCAGCCAGAATTCGTACCTGCCCGAGTCAGGCTGTATTTTCACTTCGACCGCTGATGCCCGGCCCAACACATGACGACAAGTAAGTATTAACCTCGGACTGACGACCACTCCCGAACCCCACACTCTATCGCTCTCCAAAAGGGCAACAACACCAAACAACTGGGTCAGGACACCCTGCCACCTTGAGCTGGGCAGGGGCAGGGGCAGGGGCAGGGGCAGGGGCAGGGGACTGGACAGTGGGCAAAATGACACGCTGTTGCCATTCTTATCGAGGGCATTCCAAATCCTTCTGATGGCTTCGAATATGCAGGTGATAGAACACACCAGTGTCAATCCAACCCACTCGTGGGCCTTCCAACACAGTGGAGCGGCGATCAAACCCGCTAAATAGTACAGTCCATGCAGTTTGAGATAAATGCCACCTCCTTCAGTCCCGGGCAGACAGCGAGCATCGGTCAAGATCACCGCGTTGTGCTCTCCCACCAGATTACTCACGATCCCTTTACTGAATGTGTTCATGAAGACCTCTGACCAGAAGCTGGCGAACGGGGATGCACAGCTGAACAGGGTCTGCCCTTTTCTCAGGAGCTCACTGCTCACGCACTGCGGGCTTTCTCCACCCTGGGAGCCCCTTGCCCAGCTTGGGCACCGCAGCAAACTGAACCAGGCCAGGTCCTCGAGGGCAGCCTCCTGGTCATCGAGGGAGAAGTGCCACTGGTCTGCCTCATGGTACAAACTCCGCAAGGCTTCTCGAAATTCCGGGCAAGGGAAAGCCACCAGAAAAATTGCAGGGCCGTAGCCCTGGGACCTCACCAGCCCTGAGGCTGGCACCTCTGGGTTCAGGTCAGGGCTGGGGCTCTCCGACACGGGCTCAGAGGGGGGTTCGGTTCTGCCTCCTCCTGGGCTGGTCCTGGCAGGGAACTGGACCTGGATCTGCAGATCCCTGTGGAAAGCCCCAGGAAGCAGGAAGGGCTGGAGGCTGAGCTGCCGCTGCCGGAGGAAAGGGGAGAGGATATGGGCATGGCAGAGCACCAGCCCCCGCTGGCGGTCCAGGAGGAGCCCGCTGCAGCTCCGCGCTCCGTCGCAGTCCCCGGCAGCTCCGGCTCCGCTCCGCAAACCCGCAGAGACGATGCAACTGCAGCTTTCCGGCGAAATCATCACGGGCTGCTCCGGGATTCAATGCGAAAGCGAAAACAAAATACGTTTAGTTTTCTAACCCGGAAGCCGATGCATTTACCACCCCCCGCCCTAAGGTTAACAGCGCTTTCCAATATGCTCACTCACTCAGTCACCCTTCTGTCCTTTTATTCTTACTTGGGAGTCACTGACTGGCCCAGCACTAACTACTCTTGCTTCAGCAATTTCAGAGAGTGGTCAGGAACCTTAAAATCACATGTAGGCCACACCAGGGAATCCCTAGCAGCTACTGTGTCCCTACCTGAGTACAGGATATGAATAGCATAGATACTTCGAAGGGGAAACTAGATAAACAGCTAAAAGGAGTACGATGATTGAGTTTGATGTGCCACAGGATCCCTACACTGTGGAAGTAGGCCATTCAGCCCAGCAAGTCCACACCAACCCTCCAAACAGTATCCCACTCAAACCCTCCCCATCCCCATAACCCTGCATTTCCCATGGCTAACCCACCTAGCCTGCACATTGCTGAACACCATGGCCAATCCACCCTAACCTGCACATCTTTGGACTGTGGGAGGAAACCGGAGCACCCGGAGGAAACCCAGTCAGATACGGGGAGAATGTACAAACTCCACACAGTCACCCGAGGGTGGAATCAAACCCAAGTCCTTTGAGCTGGGAGGCAGCAGTGCTAACCACTGAGCCACTGTGCCGCCCTAAGGGAAGGATGGGGGATTTATTTTTTGGGATGAAGGCATTGCCCATCTGTAACTGCCCAGAGTATAGTCAAGAATCAACCACATTGCTGTGGGTCTGGAGTCACACATAGGCCAGACCAGGTAAGGATGGAAGTTTCCTTCCATAAAGGGCATTGTGAACCAAATGGGTTTTCCTGACAATCAGCAGAGGTTATATGGTCATCATTAGTGTTGTTTTTTCTTTAAATTGAAGGTTTTTAATTTTATTGAATTCAGATGTCACCACCCACCATGATGGGATTTGAATCCATTCCCCAGAACATTAGCCTGAGGTTCTCAGTTATATTAGTGAACCAGATGGGATTTTTCTGACAAAGGACAATGGATTTGTGGTCATCATTTAACTCTGAATTCCAGATTTTTGTTGAAGTCAAATTCCATCATCTGCCATGGCAGGGTTTGAACCCATGTCTCCAGAATATTCCCTCAGTCCAGCACCTCCCTTATGTAAAGGGCAGATGGCAATGGTTACCATAACACTAGATTTAAAAAAAAAACAGCAAGTGTTAGAATATAGAATAGGCCATTCAGCCCCTTGAACCTGTACCATCATTCGATGAGATCATGGCTGATCTGTGGCTTAACTCCATATACCTGCCCTCAGCCCATATCCCTTAACAAAGCAATCTTGGATTGAAAACTAACAACAGATTTCGCATCAACTGACATTTGTTGAAGAGAGTTCCAAACCTCTTCATCCCATTCTGTAGGTCCGAGAGAGAAAAACTGTTAATGTTTCAAGTTTGGTATAACCTCTTTGAGACCATAAGACTCCGAAGCAGAAGTAGTCAATTCAGCCCATTGTGTCTGCTCTGCCATTCACTGAGATCGTGGGTTGATCTATTAATCTGAACTCCACATTTCTCCATCACCCTTAAATTCCCCTTCCTGATTAAAAACCTGTCAGTCTCAGCCTTGAATATACTTAATGACCCAGCTGTGACAGCTCTCTGTGGTAAAGAATTCCACAGATTTACCACTCTCTTGAGAGAAGAAATCTCTCCTCATCTCCATCTTAAATGTGCGACTGCTTATACTGAGATGATGCCCTCTGGTCCTAGACTCTTCCACAAGGGGAAACAACCTCTCCATATCTACCCTGTCCAGTCTCCCCAGAATCTTGTATGTGTCAATAACCTCACTGTTCTTAGAAAAATTCTGATTTTTATTGAGTTTAAATTTCACCATCTGCCATGGTGCGATTCAACCCGGGCTCTGAATTAATAGTCAGTGACATTACAATACCATTGCCTCCAGTTAATGTACCCAATTCTGAATAATCAGGCTTTTTTCTAATCCAAAATGAAAACAGAAAGGGTGGGAACAACTCAGCAGGTCTGGCAGCACCTGTGTACTCCTTCTAAAATGATGACCATTCTAGATTGCTCCACATGAAGAAACATACTCTCAATGTTTCCTTTGCCAATCGCCTTTAGCATCATACATACTTCAACTCCAGGGAGTATAGGCCTAAACTGCTCAATCTCTCTTTGAAATAACTGCACAGAAGCTGGTAACCCGTCACCATGGCACTGTTTATTTTCATGTGGACTGTGACCAGCTACCTCAAGGCCAGTCCCTAGACTGAGGAGACCTTCTGAATCTGCTGTTTATATCTGTCAGCCAGGACTCCCTGATTGACCCAGGTTAACAACCCCAATTATGGATCTCAGTATCAATGAGATCTACCCAGCCATGGTTCAAATCACTACACTCTTCACAAGACAAGCCCCTCATCTCTGGAATCAATCTTGTGAACCTTCTCTGAACTGCCTCCAATATAACTTCACCCCTCCTGAAGTAAGGGGACCAAAATTGTACACAATATTTCAGGTGTGTTTTCACAAGTGCCTTGTACAGTTGCAGCAACACTTCCCTACTTTTATACACTATTCCTTTAGCAGTAAATACCATAATTCGATTTGCTTTCCTTATTACCTGATTCCTGCATACTAACTTTATATGATCCATGCACAAGAAATTTACATTGTACTTTTCACAGCCTTTGTGTGCTTTCACTGTTAAATTCCTTTTTAAAGCGCAGTTGTTGTCTGTAATGTAAGAAGCACAACCACTAATTTGCACACAGCAAAATGTCCCACTAACAGCAATAAAATAAATCACCAGATAATCTTATTTTGGTGGCTTTGATTGACAGACAAATGTTGACCAGGATAATAAGGAAAAATCCCTTTGGTCCAGACCCGAAACGTCAGCTTTCCTGCTCCTCTGATGCTGCTTGGCCTGCTGTGTTCATCCAGCTCTACACCTTGTTACCTCTTGCTCTTCAACTATATCTTTTATATCTTCAGTTGTGTCTTTGATCATCCACAAAACACCTCTAAAAATTGAGCAGTGTCTCTGAAATGCATGGAGCTATCTATCAGAATAGATTATGTGTTCAAGACCTGAAATTGGAGTGTGAAACCATTGCTTGCTACCTTGGTGCGATGTTAATGAACACTGAGTAAGAAGAATGTTATCAATATAGCTATTCACTTGTGGTTGCAAGTACATTACAAATAGTACAGCTTCAGTGGGAAACCTTCAACCCACTCATTTTCGATGTGTGTGGGTCCAGCTGCCTTTCATAGTTACAAACTAGCACGTAAGAACATACGTAGGAAGAGCAGGAAGGGGCCAAAAAAAGCCTTGAGCCACCTCCACCATTTAATAAGGTCACAGCTAATCTTCCACCAGAACACCATTCTCCTGCCCTATTTCCAATCCTTTGATTTCCCCAAATATTCAAACTGAGTTTAGAACATAGGAGCAAGAATAGGCAATTCAACCCATTAAGCCATCCCTGCCATTCAACATGATTATGGCTGATTGAACACTTCTAAATATTACCCTAATAGTCCTTCTCACTATTTGCTATTTCGAAATCTGTCCATCTCTGCATTAAGCGTACTGAATGACTGAGCTTGCACGGCCCTCTGTGGTAGAGAACTATAAAGATTTACCACACTTTAATTAAAGAAATCTCTTCATCTTGGTCCTCAATTGCTTTCGCCTTATTTTGAAACAGTGTCCAATGATTCTAGACCCCTAAGTAGGGGAAATATCTCACCTGCATTCACCCTTTCTACCACTAAGTATTCTGTGGGTTTCTTCTTTTTGCAGAAGCAGGCCATTCAGCCCATTAAGTCCACACTGACCTTAGGAAGAGCATCCCACCCAGATCCACTCCTCTATGCTATGGCACAAGATGTTTGAAAACTATTTAGATAAGCGCTTGAAATGCTATGGTATACAAGACCAAGTGCTGATGACTGGGGAGAGAAAACTGAAGAGAGGAACTGTGTTAATGTTACAGATCTGTGACCTTCCAAGAGTGCTGGGAAAGATAGTATAATAAGCTTTGAGCAATAGGTGAGGGTGAGGGTCTGACAGAGTAAAGCAGGAGAGATTGAATGATGGAAGAGTTACCTTACTGGGCCAAAACATATGGATGGATTTACAACAATGATACCTGGAATTCAAAGATTAAGTTATGTGGAGACATTGTACAAATGAGGCCTATTTTCTCTAGAATTTGAAAGGTTAAGGATTGATCCAATCAAAGTCTTCAAGATATTAACAGGACAGGACAATTTCCACTGATTCAAAATTCTAGAACAACGCGGCATTGTCTGAGAGTTAGGGCCAGACCATTCAGGAAAGATGTCAGGAAGCACTTCATACAAACGGCAATAGAGATTTGGAACTCTTTTCCTCAAACAGCGGTTGATGCGGGGTCAGTGGTTAATTTTAAATCTGAGATTAATTTTTGTTAAGCAAAGGCATTGAGGGATATGGGCCAAAAGGCAGGTATATGGAATTAGGCCACAGATTAACCATGACCTCATTAAGTTATGGTGATTTGGTGGTGGAAAAAAACCATTCAGTTGTGTATGATGACATTTCCAGATAGCAAAAAACTTAAAAACCATGATCGCATTGATTGGCAGAACAGGCTCAAGGGGCTGAACGGTCTACTCCTGTACCTATAAGGGTCTAGGAACAAAAGATGCACCGAGAGCAGGTGTACTGCTGACCAGAAGCAAGAACAAGAGGAAAAAAATAAAAGATGAAAAGAGGAAACTAAGTGTGCCAGAGATCATGGACTGAAATTGTTGAACTTCGTGTTGAGTATGGGGTCTATAGATCATCTAATCCGAAGATGGGATGCTGTTCCACAAGCTTATGTTGAGCTTCGTTGGAACAATGCAAGCTGGCAGAGTACAGAGGTGTCAATGTGAGAGTAGGGCAGAGAATTAAGGTGACAGGTCACCAAGAACTTGTTGCAATGCTCACAAACTGAGCAGCAGTGCCCTGCAGAACAACCAACCA